GATATAACGAGTCAACAATATAGCCTGAGTGTAATCCAAACGATAGATTGATAAACAGGTTGAACACGAGTATGAAGGTTCATACTCGAGTTCCTATATAGGACACGTGACAGATCTGACAGACGCTGTCGGGTCTACGACAGACTTGACAGCAGCTGTCGCGTCTGTCGGTCACGTGACGTCTAGGCGACGCCCTCGAGGTTGTCCCAGTTGGCGCCCAGTGAATATTACTACGATACATGTGAGATCTCTGATTGGATCTTAACAGTATGCTAAATAGTAAGCTCTTACCTCTACCTATTAGGAGTATAATAACGAGAGGTGTCTATCCATCTAGTATGGTATATAGAGCTTATTCTTACTCTACTAAGTGGAAACCCATATCCTTCTAACCTAGCACTTACTATATCGCCTTATAGATGGCCCCATCCTTCTCTCTATAGACTAGTCCTTACCTCTTACTAATGGCAACTATACTACTATAACCTCCTCCTCCTCCTTCTTCTTCTTCGTCTTATTACAGCCTTTTCCTCCTCCCACTTATACCCCCATTAGTAACCTAGGCTTATTACCCTACCTCCCGCGTCCCATCTAGCCCTAGGAAGTGGTGCCACATTATACTTAGCAGCCTAAAGGCTTTAATAGAGTAATTACTTAGATACTTAACTATATTAATTAGTACGCTATAGTTACTAATGCCTACCACTATCATCTACACATTTTATAGTTTAAGTAGGTCCTCTTCCTCTTTACCTATCTTAGCCTCCTCCACCTCTCTAACCTCATCCTAGTAGCCTTTGCTAAAGGACTTACCAACCACTACTTACCTAATCCCAATAGTAGTATGCTAATAGTCTAGCGTATTTAGCGTAACACCTAGTCTCTTACCTATCTCCTATTTAAGAGCACGAGTCAGCTAGTTAGTGCCCTATGGCCCTTAGTTATCTACCTATATATAGTTGCTAAAGCTTCTACTAAGCACCTAAACGTTAAGATACTCTTAAAACGGCTGCAAGTAGGCTAGGTAGATGACTATAACTTACCTAAATCACGCTAGTAGGAAACGCGGGACGATCTTCAGCTTATCCTATTATGACTATAACTTATAGTAGTGGGATACCATTATAACGTCTCCATTAATAATGAAGAGGTTGTGGTCCTATAGTAACCCATTTTGGAACCACATTAATATGATTTCTAAGCTCCTACCCAGCTACCCCAACGTTACGTGCACACAAACCATGAGCAATATTAGAAACCATTCGACTAGATAAAGATAGTGATGGACCTAGTATATATCCTAGCTGCCCTAGGCCGTCTACAGCTTCTTGCCTTTAGAACGCTTAACCTAATTAAGCATCCATCCGAGCTTATTGGTAAGGCCATTACTATAGTACTTGACAAAGGACTCACCTTGCCGGGTAAATATAACGTCGTTAATAAGCTACTTTAGCTTAATGGAGAAACGGTCGGCTACCTCTATTACCTAGAGCAGCTCTTCCCATAGCATCTACTCTACTTCCACCACTATATCCTATGCCATACTGCGGAAGAGGTTAAGTCGGATAGGCTGGCCATATAGGTAGAATGTTATCTTATCTTTGGACTAGTACGTATTGCCCAAGTTACCTTCTATAAAGGTGATGTGCTTCCTATAGGTAAGTAAGCTAAGTGCCTTACTTATTAGACTATAAGAGCTATTAGAGAGGTATTTCTCTCTATACTATAAGAACTATACCTAGTCCTCGTCTATCTACTCGTTATATAGCGCCGCTGGAAGCAGCTTCTTAATGCTTAGTACCTAGATGTAGTAAATAACGCCGGTAAGTATATATAAATAGTTCTTCGTAGTACGTAGCTGGTGGGTGTCCATATTAATACCTAGTATAGCGAGGTAGTGTATAAGTACGTTACTAAATGGCTTATTACTAAACGTGACGAGCATAAATAAAGTAATTAAATTAAGGAGGGCCTACATCTGGCGCTTACGCTAGGCATCCTTAATAACCTTATTATCTAAGTTAATCTATAGCGCTCGCGTGAGCGTCTTCTACTTATCTATCTAGGGGAAGAGCTTACGTGTGTCTTTTATTAGGTCTACCTTCTTTCTAGGGTGGATTGGATGGTGGGTGTTAGTGTAGGCACTACTACCATTAGATGAGCTATTATCTTCACTATCTTCTATGCTATCACTATCACCATTACTATTACTACTATTACTATCTTATCCTTACTCTTCATTCTCTACGATGCATAGGTAGTAGTAGACGAACCTCACCATATAGCTTATATAGTGAGCCTGGCTCTCTAGATTCTATAGTTGGGCTATTAGGCGCTGGTCAGCCTCCTATCTCTTTACGCTCCTTAGCCACTATTACGTCTCTTAGGCCAGCGTTAACAGTCCCTTAATACTTCTCTTAACTAGTAACTCCATAAGCTCTATCGCCCACCATAGCCTCTAGTCACCGCGGTTAGGCAGCCGGGTCTAGTAGGCGAGATGCATAAGGTTTCTATTGGCTAGATACTCTAGCCAGCCTATCCACTTAAACCAGCCTATCTTATCCATCTTTATAACTTACCTAGATATAGTCTACGCCTCCTCTTTATACAACTACTTAGTAAGCTACCATTCCACCAGACGTGTGCTTACTAGGCTGGCAGCTAGATAAGAGGTAGTAGGCTTATTATTATATTTAGTTATATCTATAATAAAATACCACTACCACCTAGAAGCTGGGAAGAAAGACTATAGCTTTATATACTAGTAGAGCGTAATAGATCTAGTCTTAAAAGGTAACCTATACTTCTTATTATAGTGTATATATAAGCTATCCTTACTTAGGGTAATAAAGCTATATACTGGCTACTTACACTATACCCCGTCTCGTGGCTTCCCTAATACCTATATTGGCGGCCCCCTAGGAGGTAGTAGCTTTACCTTCTTAGGCGTGTATATCTAGTAGTGTACATAGCTCTCTATAAATTTCTTCCTTTCTTTAATGGGTATACTATACTTTTATAGGAGATGCGTATTGAGATTCTCTATACTAGTCTAGTGCTCCCTATAGTAGAGTATATGGTACTTTGGGATGTAGACTATATACGCCGATATCTTAGCTTATATTAATTACTATGGTTGACTGCGTTGCGTATGTGATGGAATTAGTAGTAGATATACTATTTTATTAGTATTAGCTACGCTAGGCGCTTAAGCATTCTAGTAGAACTCTATCACTAACCCTAAGAGTTAGGGTTAGCTAGTAATCTATCCCTACAACCAGTTTTAGTTAATATAGGATTATTTATAGATGCAGAATGCTATGCTGGGATAGAGGAAGTTGAAAGAAATATAAAAATGGCTAGGGAATGCAGAAGAATCTACCTATAGAAGATGGTGAATATGCCCCCTTAGACTACCCAATTCATTAACCCTAACCCTTACGTTAGTCCTGATTCGGCGCGAAAGTGACCACTTTCATTCTATCTTATTGGCAAGGTTAGGACTTTAAGGGCGGCGGCCAAAGGGAGTATAAGGGTAGGGGCTAGAAGACCCCCTAGGGTACTAGAGCTATCTATTTATTAGCTAATTCTCGGTTTTAGCGGGGCTTAATTTTAATAGAGGTAGTAAAACGTAGTCGCCCTAGGCTAGAGTAGTAACTAAATTAAATAATTTTACCTATACATTATAGTAAGCGCGTTATTTACTTATATGTAATTAAGATTAAGGCTATATAAGTTAGTAGTAAGGTAGTGATTATAGATAGATTAATTATTTAATAAATAAGGTATGGTATTAAGATAGAGGTTACCTAGAGCTAGGTAACTTACCTTTAGCGCAACTATAGGTTACTAAGGATTATCCGGCGCTAGTACTAGGGGTCTTCTAGCCCCTTCCCATCTATACTATAGTAGTATGGGTGGGATCGTATACTACTATATTAAAATACCTAGAATTCTAAGAGTAATATGCCATGCTAAAGGGTCTCCCTACCCCTACCCCCCTAGGGCCAGTGTAGGTACATTTGGTATAGTGAATTTAAACTACCCCTTTGGATATTATACTAGCCACGCCCTCTTTTCCCACCATATATACCCTACTAACCTTAAGTGTTACTTATTACGCTCGCCTAT